GTTTATGAATGACATATCTATGTTCAAGGTTAAAATCACAAATTGTCCGCTCTCTGCTAATAACTTTTTAAATTAAAAAGTTAATGTGAAATATACAGCCATACTTATTTAAATATCGTTATTAATAAATACTTTAAATATCGTTATTAATAAATATCTCCATCCATTCTTTAAACGCCAAATTGAGACATAAAATAATCATCAGATCACAGCTATTAATTCGATCCAAACCTATCTCACAAGTACGGATTGCTGGTTTGGCAAACTCGGCCAAACCAGGTTAACTTAAGTTCTTTATAACCACGTTTTAGTTTTTTTGCCAAAAGCTTTAATAGGTAAAGGAAAATATAGAGAAAACTTACCTATATCGGCTTGTGTCAATTTTAATTACTCTGTTTTATCTTCATTGTTACAATTTCATGTTTAATTGTTTTGTTATTAGAATATAAAATATGTTATTACGGGCACTCATTTCATATTCTGACAATTTTTTAGTGTTCACAACATTTATTATGTACAAATTTCTATTTTCACTTCATAGAGAATCTAATTAGCTACTTTTTAAATATATTTTATAAAAATATCCTATTCTTAATTATATTTAGTCGATTATAATAGTACACAAATATAGAAATAACATTACGTATTAGTTCTACCATAAGCAAAAAAAGCCGATTTACAGCGTTCACGATTTTTAATTTTGCATTTAATGCGCACTGAGTATGTCTTCATCTCATACTAATCATACTATTAATATAAATAAGAGGTACTATATCCTCATTATGCAAAATGAATTGAGATTGCTATTATAGATTCCAATAAAATGTTTAGGTACTTTGTGCACTACGACTTGGAGTGCTATTTGTGTTTATTATAGGAGTGAGCCAGTTTATTGAACATGGTTGGGTCACAGAATATACTAACTACTAGTAGTTAGTAGTATCCTGTAGTTAGGATATTCTGTGGTTGGGTGAATATGGTTAAACCGAGGAATTTTGTGCAAAACCCTTCCTACCCAATGGCCAAAAGCAAACAGTACAGTAGGTACCTAATCTATGCAAACAGTGACTAAGACATAATATAAAAACACTATTACCATAATGCGTATAAAATATAAAATGATTTTTATACAGTTCAATATTATTTATCTTTGTGCCGCTCGCTACGCACATCGATAGAATCTATAATCGTCTAGAGACCGAGTTACACACTGAACTCGATCTATATTCTATCTCTGTCTTTTGCACTAGGTAGGGAATAGGGAAATGCTTTGTTAGTGGGTGTAAACGGACTTGATTTAACCCGTCCTGACAAACGTCATAGCATAAGCGTAGACGAGGGGTCTAATTCCATGGCTATAATAAATTTATAAATTAAAAAAACACAACTGGGACGTTTTAAAATGCTGTAATAATTAAAATTGATCAAAGTGCCGGTTATAGCAAACCGTAAAAAATATTAGATGTTATGTTTTATTATCTTTTTTCATTATTTTCTATATCTTGTTGCCTTTTACGCAGACACGCCAATGGATTTTCGTTCCCGGCACGCTTCATCCCCCTTACTATACTCGGCGGCCGAAATCATAAAGAGTGACTAATACATAATATAAAAACACTATTACCATAATGCGTATAAAAAATAAATTGATTTCTATACGGTTCAATATTATTTATCTTTGTGCCGCTCGCCATGCACATCGGTAGAATCTATAATCGTGTATAGACTGAGTTACACTGAACGTCGATCTATATTTTATCTCTGTCTTTTATTGCACTTGGTAGGGAATAGGGAAATGCTTTTTTAGTGGGTGTAAACGGACTTGATTTGCCCGACCTGAGAAACGTCATAGCATAAGCGTAGACGAGGGGTCTAATTCCATGGCTATAATAAATTTATAAATTAAAAAAACACAACTGGGACGTTTTAAAATGCTGTAATAATTAAAATTGATCAAAGTGCCGGTTATAGCAAACCGTAAAAAATATTAGATGTTATGTTTTATTATGTTTTTTCATTATTTTCTATATCTTGTTGCCTTTTACGCAGACACGCCAATGGATTTTCGTTCCCGGCACGCTTCATTCCCCTTACTAGTCCAAGAGCTAGCGATGAATCACTATCTATAATTTTGGCCGTCGAGTATAGTCTAAAAGCTAGCGATGAATCACTCTCTATAATTTCGACTGTGGAGTTATAGTAATAATATAGTTATTTTTGATGCTTTCATTACTTTCATTTCATCAATAATTATTCGAGAATGCAAGAAGAGTAGTTGTAGACATTTAATAAAGTAGCTCTTAGCATCACATACATATATTGACTATAATAAAGATTTCATACTTTTGTTTAATTCAGAATAAGTACCTACATTTTATGAAAAAGAGTGTTATTCTCAGCCCAGTAATCTATACATTTTTTATGCGTTTGCTGATATATATCTTCTTCGATTTTTCTAGTAATAACCCTCTATTTGCTTTGCCAATTCAAAAATTTCTGGTGGAGTTAATCTGAATTCTTCCATCTCAAATAATAGTTATCTTTATGGGTTTAAATAGGAACAATATGGCGATTACTCTGTACCTAAGTTATTTACTTAATAACGCTTATCTCATAGCAGCCACAGGCAACCTGATGAAATTATATTATTCATAAAAGTATCATACAATTTTAATAATATAAAATAAATAGCTTTGTTTGCTATTGATAAAATTAAAATTGATCGGTGAAAAAATTATGTGTTTAACTTGATCTGATAATCTTTAATGCCTTGGCCGTTTTTCAAATATCAGCCGTGGCATTACATCCCGTACTTTACTGCCTAGTTAAACAAATAACTGTTACGTCCTGGATGTGAAAGACGTTCTGTAAACAAAAAACTGTTGTTTTAACACTTAATAAATATCATGCAAAAGTCAACTTTTAATGACTGTTTTCGAAAAATGTAATTATTGAAACTTACAGCATGTAGAAGAATTCGTGCATTCCCCCCACCCCCCTTCCCCTGGCTATGCCTTATGCTTGTAGTCATGATATTTACTACTACTCATAATTCTTTGAATTGAGGACTTATTAAAATTTAATTCCCTGCTAACTTGCCTGAGCTGTAACATTATCACCGCGAGCTCTTTTCCGAATTGATTTTCCTTTTCAATTACAAAATGCAATTCGGTTTTCTTCAATCTTACAAATTTTTTGTGATCAGGATGTCAGAGACCAGTATGTCTTTCCTGATAAATTTGCACTGTTCTTCTTGCATTTTTTTTTGGGCTTTCCCGTAAATGAGGATCATCAACTTTTTCATCAAGCGTTGTCATATTAATTGAAATAAACTATTCAAAATAAGAACAAACAAAATATTTCCATATTGACAAGTTATTTGACAAATTGCGCCACAATAACACAGGCCGATAGTATTTTAACCCAACGACACGAATATACCTACTTTCCCAATGGGTTTTGGTGCGCTGAATTCGAATCTGAGGTCCAGATATCTCAATTATTGGCTCTAGTTTTCGAGATATCCTAACTTACAAGTGCCAAAATCTTGATTTTTTGACATATTTGAAGTTATGATACATGGAAAGGTCATTTTTTTTGCTGAAACCATTAGTGGGGTCCTAAAGTACTACATTTACTAATGCACTTGGATTTATCCCGATATCATTTTTCGTCGTTGAGAAATCGCATGTTGAAATTTAGTTGTTTGACTTATTTATCTAGACAGAATTTCGCTGATAAACTCTCATTATTTTATTTTAAAATTTTGTTTAGTTACAAAATAATGTTTTGTGGTTACAAATGTGAAAACGCGCATATTTTGGTTTTTTTGGATTCGAATCCGAGGTTCAAATTTCTCAACTGGCTTTGGTTTTCGAGATATCCTGACCTAAAAGGTGTCAAAATTGCGTTTTTTTGGACATATTTTAGGTTATGTTACATGGAAAGGTAGGTAAATTTTTTTGATGGACCCATCAGTGGGGTCTTAAAGTACTTTAAATCGCGATTGGATTTATCCAGATATCATTTTTCGTCGTTGAGAAATCGCATGTTGAAAATTAGTTGTTTGACCTATTTCTCTAGACAGAATTTCGCTGATAAACTTTCATTATTTTATTTTAAAATTTTGTTTAAAGTTACAAGCAGAAATGCGAAAACGGGTATATTTTAAATATCGAACGAAATCGGAATTATCCATGACTTGATTTAGGTGCGCTGAATTCAAATCCGAGGTCCAAATTCCTCAACTGGCTCTGGTTTTCGAGATATCCTGACCTAAAAGTGCCAAAATCGCGATTTTTTGACATATTGGAGGTTATGTTACATGGAAAGGTGGGTAAATTTTTTTGATGAAACCATCAGTGGGGTCTTAAAGTACTATACTTACAATTTAAAACGCACTTGGATTTATTCCGATATCATTTTTTGTCTTTGAGAAATCGCATGTTGAAATTTAGTAGTTCGAGTTATTTCTATGTTTCTGGGAAAAATATATTTCATGATGTCATAATAAGCATTTCCAAAAGTTCCAAAAATAATATTTCTTGCTCAAAGGCAAATGTAAGTGATCCTATTTGAAATCTCCAAGTGAAATTTTATTTGCGTTTTTTATTATCCATCGAATTTGAGAGACCCTGTACATCAGAATAGTAACGAATTATCAAAAAACTAGCTTTTGTCATTTCAGAGATATTTTTGGCTCAGAACTCTTGGACTATTAAGCAGAACGTCATTATTATTGATGAATTTCTGGCTCCATATCATTGAAAAAATGTTTGGCTGGAATGTAGTGCAATAAACAAGGACAGTTTTTCGTTCCTCACACGTTTGAAAAAATTGTGACTGAAATGAAAGAAAATGTTATTATAAAGATACATTTATTCATTATTTGCATCTGTGTCCACATTAACGTAGATTTAAATTATTGTTTTTATATAACTATAACAAAAAAATTTCAAACTGTGGTTATCGATATAAAACAAAATATTAAAAATTAAAATATATGTACATAAAAATTAACTATTGTCTATATTATCTATATTAACACGATTTTGTGCATAATAAAAGAAAAGCATTATAAATACTAGTTGAGCATTAAACAATTGCCCATTAAACAGTTTAGAAACAAACTTAGATAAAATAAAAATCCTATGAACACAATAATCAAAATATGAAAAGGGCATTTACACAACCAGATTTTTATATAATAATCCATTAGCAGCCGAATAATTTAATAAAATGAGACTAGAGTGTACTATAAGTTTCAAGTTCTTAAAAGTACACTAAATATAGACTAAGATTTATAAAATACGAAAAATTTAAATAACAACTCTTGGGTTAAAACAAATAAAAAAGAATCTAGAAAAAGACAGCACTGATTGCACTATTAGAGAAAGCTGAAAAACATAATCAACTGTACAAACTACATATTACATAAAAACTATACAGTAGATTAGAGCCTAATAGGCCTTAATATTTACATCTATACATTGTCACTAATATTTAATTATGATAATGTAAAGATGTTGTATAAAAGATTTGAGCCAAAGTTTATAAAAATTTTAAAATATATTTATTATTCTAAAGTATAACACTAATATTAATCTAAATCTAAATTATAAATCACGAATTCAATGGCAGATATGCTTACAATATACCGTAAATATTATTAAATAAAGTAACTATGAAATGTATGAAAAATATTCATACCATCTACTAAACAACAATGGATTTACATATTGTAAGCAACGTAAATGGGGTCTAATTGGTCTGCTAAGAAGCCGTCACGTAAATGCATACGTTGTTTTTCACCTCGGGAGTTGATAGGGACAACTCCAGGGTCGACAACTACTACTACTCCAACAATTAGATGATGTTCCTCTAAAACTGTGTTAGTGACCAAAGGTACTAAATCTAGAGCTTCGCTTTCGTTTCCATCAAGTTCAACCACCACTACCAGTAGATTGGTCCAAGTGAACACAGCACTGAAAATTTAAAGTAAAACATTAAAAATATAATATTAGTTTCCGAGTTTTTTCTGAAGAAGACTTGAAGTATCAAGAAGCGTAAACCGATTACATAGCAACCAGTCTGGAATTGTTCAGCCAATACGAAAAATATGTTATTTAATTTCTCGGTGAATTTTTGCATAATTTGATCAATAAAAATAATTTTTATTTATACATACATTTTATGTGGAAATTAGTTATTTACAAAAATTTCGTCTTTTAAAATAAATATTGTAACAAAAATTTACTATTCCATATATGGAATACAGGGCGAGTCGGGAGGAACGCCTCAAACTCAGTGTATTCTAAACGTAAAAATAATTTTAAAATACTTAAATGTTGATACCTGGATTTTAGGTGTTTGTCAACAAGAAAATTCCTCACACCCATCGTTCCATTGTAGTCTTAAGTTAGACTGTGTTACAAAGCGGACTTGGTAGCCCAGCCACCGAGTAGTACTTTCTATCAACTTGTTTTTTGACACATTACGCTTGATGGCATATTTTGAGGTCTTACTTTCTCTATCATCAGAGTAGGGTGGTATTCAAATAACTTGTATTCATGAATACAAAAGATGAATATAAATATTTATCCAAAATATTAATGAATTTTTGTATTTATAAGACAAACAGTATCTAATAAATATTTGTAATTACCAGGTATTGATTAATGATTATTTACAAAATACAAATATTCATTATATTATTAAGGATTCTATGGATCATTTATTGAATAATATTACTTATACATCCACATAAAGAACACATCAGTAAAAAAGGCCCGAGGTTAACTGCTGAAAAAACATATTTTTTAAAAAAGTCTACTCTATCAACACAGTCTGCTTTAAGGATGTTCGTTACCGAAAAAAAAAATAGTAGAAAGTTTTCAAAGTAATTAAAATCTGTAAATAAATAAGCAAACTACCTCGTGTAAAAATATCAGATCGATTGCCAACGTAGTTTCTTTGAAAAGTGATATTAAAAATTATGATCTTATACACAGGCTCTTATGGGAGTTGGTAAAAAACTTGAATGAAACGTAAATATTACTCTTAAAAATGGTTAGGATCGGGAAAATAAAATTGTAATTAAAGAATTAAATATTACTAAACATTTTAAAACAATAAAAATATGCACTTACAATAATTATTGAGATAATGGAATGAATAGATAACGTTTTGACTTTCAACAAACATCTGATCCAATGAAAGGAAATATGGCAACGCTGTACGCTGTATTTAACGCTTCGACTGACTATATTTGAATAGCTCAATTATAGACTGTAAAATTATTTTAGTCGAAAATAATTTGTAGCAATAATTAATATTAAATACATTTTTCGTGATCTAGTGCAATATAATAGCAATTTGAAACAAAAATTGAAAGGATCCCTTTGCAAAACAAACAGTATAGATGTTCTGTCATAATCTTCAATTTGACAAGGCGACGTCTCACTACCATACAGTGAGCTTCTTGGTAGTTATCATATGGATTCTAGGTTTGCACATTTTACTTTTTTTCTCATCAATCTACATTCTATCTGTTTCATAGGTTCTTCTATATTGCTTTTCGGTCATTACTTCTACTTTGTATCTTGGATGTTCATTCATGTTTACGGTATATGTGCTATGCACAGTTGACAGTTGACCCAATTTTTACCACCATGCCATACTGATGTGCAATGTTGCTAGACTTCACCTACAGTTTTAGAAGCTCTTATTGAAAAATAGACACTTTTATTCAAATAAAAAGTTAATTGTCATCCATTAAACAGGAAAAATATATGCGAGCTAATAATTAGTTTATTGGTACTACAACGAAACTCCCGTGTATAAGCATAGGCTTCCCTCCCGCACCGCCTGCCCCGCAAGATATTTATCGAACCTCCTTAAGCGTGATACATTCATCCCAATGCTTCTCTAACATTTTGATGCTTACAGAACAAATTGTCGAGACCTACAAAAAACGCCTCAGCTTCCGATATGACTGCATCATTTATGTCAAATCTTTTTTCCTGGAACATCCTTTTGAGACCTGAGAACAGGGGCCAGGGCTGGGGGCCAGGTCTGGAGAATACGATGAGAGGGAAAGCAATTGGAAGCCCAATTGATGCAGTTTTGCCACCGTAATCATCAACTTGTGACATGGTGCATTGTCTTGGTAAAAAAGCATTTTATTCTTTGCCATATGGGGCCAATTCTTCTGATTTAATCCTTCAATTGGTCTAATACTGCTGAGTAATATTCGCTATTGATGGTTTTTCTTCTTTCCAGGTAGTTGATGAATATTATGCCATGAGCATCCTAAAAAAAACTGTTTGCCAGGACCTTTCCAGCTGACTGTTGTGTCTTTGTCCACTTTAGACGGCCTTCACCACTGCTTTTCATTCAGCCAACTGTCGATTTGATTTTGGAGTATAATGGTGGATCCATGTTTCATCCATTGTCACACACTGATGCAAAAAAATCCTATTTATTTCATCTAAAGAGGTCTAAACAGTGCTCTGAGTAATCAACACCTTTTTGTTCCACTGTGAGCAAACATGGCACCCAGTTTTCTTTTTCTCAAATGTTTGTGCAAAACATTGTATATACTGCCTTTTGATATCTTTGGGATCTTAGCTATATCCTGCGACTTCACTTTACAGTTATCCTACACAATTTTTTGGTATTTTTTGATGCTTGGACGTCCAGAGCGTTCAGCATCATTGATGTCCGTACGGCCCCGATTAAACTCAGCAAACCAACAACAAATGGTTGTTTTCGACAGAGCAGATTCCTTTTCAAGCCATTACTGAATTTGGATGGTATTTTTGCCCATCAAAAAACAGTGTTTAATCAACACACGAAATTTTGTTTGACAGTTTCTTTTGAAAGTTAGTCATACTATCTAACGCACATATGAATATTTGTATTGTGGTGCCGGAATTTTTTAACCAATGTGTTATGTATCTACAAATTACAAAACAATAAGTGAATTATAACACGAAGTATATCCAACGGGTGTCAAATATTATATTATTATATTTCCTCTATTTTGGGCTTATATCCTCACATACTCACTACATATTGCTGGTCATTCAATGCTAGTTAGGGCATGTGGTTCATATAGTCTAAGAGATTGGTGTCAAAATCCCCCGTGATCGGATTAATGGCCAATTTTGTTTTTAATGTGTTGGTCGTATGTTGTATAACAGGGTTTCAGAGTTTGCTGACACCCCTTGTGGGGCAGGGGTTGGGGGTGCTGGGGTAAATACGAAAATCGCCCCGTGATCAGATTAATGTCAGCAACTCATAATATATATTCTAGACCTTCGGGGGAGTATGAAAATGAAAGTTGCTGACAGCCTAGTTGGGGCAAGGGCGTTTAAAACGGGGTCAAATGTATTATTTACCGAGCGCGCAAACTGTATGCGTAGTCCAGGCGGTATCTGTTTCGGGTTGGGTAAAACGCATATGATCGGAGATTTTTGCTTTAACGGCTTCCAAATAACATCAGAAATGATAATTTTTCTATGCAAATAAAAAAAACTTGGGTTTAATTATTGTTATTGCAAAAAAGTATAAAAAAATAGCAAAAAAATTCATTTTTTTCTTGGATTTCTCGTCGACAACTTAGCAACTATTCATTTTAGACAAAAATGGAAGAGGAAAAAAATTTTTGTAATGTAAATTTTGATCAAGATAGTTAGTTGCAATTCCAAAAAATAAATATTGTTATTGCAAAAATCGGAATAATCATTTAAAAAATGGCAAAAAGTGCTTGTTTATTTGTCAAGTTTTTTCAGACACTTGAATAATATCTAGGATCTTCATACTTTTCCCAATTAAACTTCTTACTGCATAGAATCATTACACCAAATTTCATTCAATTCGGTTTGATAGTTTTTACATAATAATTGTTTAAATTTTTTTTTTTTAATTAAAAAATTTTCAAAATCAAATTTCTAAAAATCTAAAGCCTTTGAATACTTGAAAATTTCACCACAAAAAGAAGAGTCCTCAAGCTTTAAAATGGTTTTTGAAAAATCCAAATCGGACGATTAGGCAAGCCGTGGTGATTGTTTAATCATTTTCGTAATTTTCACGCTTATAAACAATTGCAATAATTTAATGTTTTTTTCAATTTTTTTTATTTTAAAATATAGTTCGAAAGTACTCAGAAAGACGAATATTTAAAAAAAAATCTGATGATCCGCCCATTATTTTTGGAGTTATAGCCCGTTAAAGTTAACCCTTATTTACAACAAAACTATAAGGATATAAGGGCTGTTTTTTTACTTAATAGGTTTGTCATTTTGAGTACTTTCCATATATAAATTTTCAAAATTTGCAATTAAGGGGGTCCCATTTAAAATGTCACTCAAAAATATTCAAGACCACGTGAAATCAATGAGGTATCAGTGGTGGGGGGAGCAAACACACAGCTACTCCGATCTGAATTCTCGAGTTCAAAACTGCGACGCTTGGAAAAATTTCACTTATCTCGGCTTCTAATGAACCAATTTCGATGATTTTTTTTAATCGATGTCTCGCAACTTAAAAAATTCAATTATCATATTTTCAACTACCTTTTATTATTAATTATTGGACTTTTGACATGCCGATAAACAGTTACTTTAAAAAATGATTAATTTATTATGTTTATTTATTTACTATGTTAATATTCACGACCAAAATTTTTGCATGTTGCACCAGGTAATACTAGTAAGTTTGTTTAAATATTATAAAATTGTTTAAACAATAATTATTTAAATAAACAACTGAAAATTGGTATTAATTTTTAGTTGTACGATAAATTTCTAAAAATCTTTAAAAAAAAATTAATTGTGAATAATTATAATTTTAATTTTTTCGTTTACTTTTAAAATATTTATCTAAAATTTATATTTTATTTATATATAAAAAAGTATAAAAATCTTTTGGATATTTCAATAAACAGTACACACTTGTTTAAATGTTTAAACAATCACCACGGCTCACCTAACTGTCCTACTTGAATTTTTCAAAAATCATTTTAAAGCTTGAGGACTCTTCTTTTTGTGGTGAAATTTTCAAGTATTCAAAGGCTTTAGATTTTTAGAAATTTGATTTTGAAAATTTTAAATTAAAAAAAAAAAAATTTAAACAATTATTATGTANTTATACTTTTTTGCAATAACAATTAAACCCAAGTTTTTTTTTTATTTGCATAAAAAATTATCATTTCTGATGTTATTTGGAAGCTGTTAAAGCAAAAATCTCCGATCATATGCATTTTACCCAATCCGAAACAGATACCGCCTGGACTACGCATACAGTTTGTGTGTTCGGTAAGTGATACATTTGACCCCGTTTTAAACGCCCCTGCCCCAACTAGGCTGTCAGCAACTTTCATAATCGTACTCCCCCGAAGGTCTAGAATATATATTATGAGTTGCTGACATTAATTTGATCACGGGGCGATTTTCGTATTTACAGGATATGGCAGGATATCTAGGAATATTCAAGCGGTAGGGTAAAAGTAAGGCACTAGGGGTTTATTATTTTTCCCTGGTGACGTTGAATTTGACCTGGACCATGACCTTCTAGATCATATCCAGGTCACGAGAATATTTTTAAATGGAACCCCACAATTTTGACCCCGGAAATGGAGAGAACTGAAAATGTTACGTTCGGATATGACCTTGAAATGACCATTAAGGTCAAGATCAAGGTCAAATATCAAAAAGTCCCAAAATGGCCCAAAGTACCGGAATGGCAGAATAACCCCCCAAGAACAAAGTTCTCCACAATAGTTCTAGGATGACAGGTGACAAGGTGAAAGACAGTAACTGTTGGTTATTAGTACCCCCCCTGCCCGCTAATCTTTTCTGTTTAAGAGACCGCCAGGATCAAGAAACGAAGACAACGACACACACACACACACTCACACACACACACACACACACACACACATACACACCCCCCCATACCCTCCTTATCTCTCCCTTCTCGCGCTAGCCTGAGGGCCACCTTAGCAAAGCGCATCCCAGGCTGCATAGCCGCACCACCCTACCCAACCATAAACATGACACCACCCCCGGGGTTTACACAGACGAGCCGGCGAAGCAAGAAGAGCGCCAGAAGAATGGGCCCTAGCCGGCGGGGCCCAGCCAGGACAAAAGGAGAAAAGGGAAAAAGGCATTGAAGATCAACAGTGGTTACCAAGGGTAATAGACGGTTTTGGATGGTCAATAGTAGTCATCGAGGGTAACATGATAACCAACTTGACCTTGAAATGACCGGTGGGTTATTCTGCCATTCCGGTATTGCTGGTCCACTTTGGGACTTTTTGATATTTGACCTTGATCTTTCTTGAATTTCAAGGTCATATTCGAACGTAAAATTTTCCGCTCTGCATTTCCGGAGTCAAAATGATGGGGTCCCATTTAAAAAAACTCTTGTGACTGATATGACCTCGAAGGTCATAGTCCAGGTCTAATTCAACGACACCATCGGATAGCCAGGGGAAAATCCTAAACTCCTAGTCCTTTACTTTTACCCTACCCCTTGAATATTCCCAGATATCCTGCATTTCGGAACTTTTGGCCCACTCTGTATATTTGTTAGCATATTTGACTGGATTTCACCCCAAATTATCCGCAACAACCACTTTATCAAATATTAATAATTAATTAGTACAAATTTGTTGCTCTAATCAATATCCGTCAATTACTGCCCGACGATCCCATCCGTGGCGAGGCTGTACAACGAGTTCGGCCAAGATCATGTGTCACCGTGATTTAGGATATAGGGGTTGTCCGTCAACCCTGCTCTGATTTGCTAACATATTTTTAGTATGTCACATTACTAAGTTATTCGTTCGAATATTGTTGATTTATATTAGCTTATTTGTAGTTCAGAAATAGAATATTGTGCAATAAGTGTGGCAAGTTGTCTATTGCCCACGAGAGCGGAGTTGAGCGCACAAACAAAGTGTTTTATTGGCAATTCGCATGCGACAAGTAATAGCTGTTTTACATTGACAATTTATTGATCAATTAATTCATGAAGTCGCTTCATCAAGAAATTGGAATTGTAATGCACCAAATCTGCTGTCAAATAACTTCATGAATTTATTCATCAAGTTCTTGACGAATTAGAGCATGTTCTAGTTTTCGCCAATTTCTTCGTGAAGTTCGGAAGTACCAACCCAACAGATTTCCAGCCTCAGATCAGTAATGAGGTTATGTTATTGGAATATGTAAATAATTGTGTGGCGTCGTGCTAGTTTTGCATTGTTTTTACTGATTTGTTACAAAAACTAATATTTATATAATATGTGTCAGAACGGTACCACTGTTGTATCACTACAATTATGAGTGGAAAGGTGACATTTTTGAAATTTATTTGCTTCTTTGTTTCGTTGGTAGAATTGATTCATGCGTCAAAAAACTTGACAGTCTGTAGCAGCGTAAACCACACTGTTTACCAATAAATTCGTGAATTAATTCATGAAGAACTTCGCCAATTTATTCATCAATAAATTGTCAATGTAAAACAGCTATAAGATTACCGCACGCAAATAAATAGAGTGGGCAAACAGCTAGTTACCGACCTAAAAAACATGCGAAAAGATAACTTATCCGTCATGAGTAATAAATTCTGTAAGTAAAAATATTAATTGTTTCTCAATTTGATAAATTTTAATCAAAAGAAAAACTGCTATTACTTTGGTAATTTAATGTTCTATATTTCTAATAATAAAGAAGTTAGCAATAGTACTGATTTAATATGAAACACACTGTGTATCAATATCAATTTTAAGAAAAATTTACTTTAAAGCAGTTAAGTTTAATAATTATGATTTTTTAAGATAATAAAAATTTTAATAACACAATAAGAATACAATAAACTCACCATTCTGCAATTTTCTTATGGCACCTTAAGACACTATTTTCTATATCGATCGGATGGTATCTCATCCCTCTTAACATAATTGCCTCATCTAAAGCCCCAACAACGAAAACGGCATCATGTAATTCAGGTGAATCGGAGGGGACTAAGTGATGGGATGATCCCACAGATTCATTATCACTTTCACGATTCAGTATCGTTTCTTCTACTACACAATTTCTTTCTGTTAATTCGGTTCTTCTCAAAAATCCTAAATAGCCTGTTCTAGCATATACCTCTCCTGTATTGCCCGTTACCAAACGAGCTGTAAAGTGATCTCCGTATTCGTTCTCATCTCCATAAATTGTGAAATATCCACTGGCAGAATGTCCACTTTGAACCCATATTTCTCCCAAATGAGAATCGCCGCATTGACCTTTTGTCTCTGGATTAGCAATAATTACTTTTACTCCGGGAAGCAATTTGCCACTTTCCATGACACATAAACTGTGAGGACTTCCTCTTTCGACTAAACTGACCCTGTCATTTCTGAGAGCTCTCAGATCCACGTAAACGGTTGACGGTTCGGGACTGGAAGCGCCTTGTAAACAAATGGTGACATTAACTCTACATCCAAACGAAGTTGAAACAGCTCTAGGACTAAGACCTAAGGCGCTAAATAACTTAGAAAAGCTTGTAGTCAGATTCATTCTGGGTCTTTCTTCAGCTACCACGACACAGGTTCGCACACAGGATAGATTAACTCCCCTTGATTTTAATTGGTTTACTGAAGATCCTAAACCTTTTGTACAAAGTTCCATCACTCCGTAAGAGCAAAAAGTATCTCTTACTTTGTACTGGCTTACTGCAGACAGCCACAGCGCCGGGTTTACTTCAACTTCAGAAGGAGGAATTAAAATGGAATGATGTCCAGAGTAAATACTACTTAAACACCTGCAAAAAAGCATAAAAAACTATTTTATATTAAAATTTGCATGTACTTATACTATTGTGGTATACAAAGTACTATTGTCAAATACAGGAAATTCACTAGACTACAGAATGTATTGAAAAAAGGGTACACAGTAGTGCCCATCAAAATAAGAAAGTTCTCTTAATTGACGTAGATTATTGAAAGTAAGTAAAGTTGTATACTATTACATTAAGTTGCGACAGAGATACTGGTAGATACCGTTGCTAAGAATTTAAGAATTTTGTCGTTACTGAGTGTGGTGGATATTCGATACACTCATTTGCTTCATAAAAATTATATCTCAAAGAAAAAATATTGATTTCATTTTATTTTCGAGAAATACGTAATTTTTGAGTTTTCAGCCTAAAATAAATTTACCACACAGTTGAATAAATCAAATAATTCTGAAATTATTAATTTCTGAAAAAAACTACTTACACTGTACAACTTTTGTTGCAAATTCAATAAATACAATATAGACATTCAAAGTCTAGAAATTTTCAAAAAAGTAAAATCATTTATCTTTACCCTAATATTTTGGAATCGTTTATTGAGTTATATTCTCTTATATTTAAAATTGTCTAAATTTTCATAGTTTTCAGTCAGACTCTTTCCGATCATATAATAATTTTATTTAAATACCATAGATGTTTATGGAAGATTTAATGGGTAAATAAAAATTTTATCAAAATGACACTTTGTCAACAGCTGTGGTGAAATACAATTAAATTTTGTATTTAGCCATTTATTATTTATTTTAGAGGATATGTTCATATGGACTTTTTCTCTTATTCCCATCAGCTTAAGAAGGTTACTACACATTTTTTTTAACAACCTGTACAGTAGCACTCTGAGCATGGTTATAAGTAAAATTCCCATCACACGAACTTAGCTATAAATGACATACATTACAACATGCACATTTTTTTTTAATAAACAAGTGGTAGATACAGACAGGCGTTTTATTTCCTTAAAGTTATAGCATTAGAAAAGAGCATAGAAATTATCTCCTAAAACAGGACAGGGCCCCCATGCTTCAATATTAAAATACAACCACTTTAATCATTTTGATTATGATTAAGGTCTATGAGTAAATTTATATTTCAGTTTGTACAGGGTGCCTCAAACTCGATAGTATGGGCCTACTGTGAGGATACAATAGATTGAAATAAAATTTGGGACACATGGTGTTCCATGGGATGAGGTAGGCTGCATTTTCAACCGAAAGTATTATCTTTGGGTTTTGACAGAAACGACTAATGACGTCATCAATTATATTTTTTCCAGAAACATACCCAAAAGTTATAAGCAATATCGTCCTAAAGAGTCTCAAAAGAAATGCCACCTAAAAATCACATTAGCGGTGGAAGCATCAAATAGTCGTTGGAAAATAATTGAATGTTTGTTGTGTAAAGTGCATAAATGTCACATAATACTTGTCATTACTCAATACGAATGTCAAACGTATAACTTTTGTACTTACAAAATGTTTTTTTCATTTAGAACTTGGTATGTTGCTAATTTACGGCGAGTCACAAAAAAATTCAAGAAGAGCTGTAGAGTTATATCGAGAAAGGTATCCAGAGCGCCTGATTCCTGATCATAGAACCTTTGCAAGATTGGACATTACGATGAAATGAAGATGTATTTTCTGTTCGGAAAAATCAAATAATTGACTGAAGGGTAAGAATCAATGTTAATACAGCTAGACTGTTACAGTATTTCGAACAAAATCCACGAAATTCTATACGTTAGGCTAGCCGGGAATTGAATTTGGATAAATCAGCCGTTCAACAAATTTTAAAGACCAATGGATATTATGACTATAAAATTCACAATTTGGAGTATTTGCCTGAGTGTCATATACTTAATTTTATAGCTCAAATGGTAGTAAATGTAGAAACTGTTGATCAGAACCTTTTTCGGTACGTTTTTTGGACAGACGAAAGTCGGTTTGTCAGTAATGGTTTGCCTAACAGGCGCAACGAACACTACTGGTTCATTAATCTCCATATTGTAAATCCAGTCCAAAACCAATGCCATTTTGGAGTAAATGTATGGTGCGGCATCATCGGTAGGCATTTAATTGGCCCTTATTTTTATGAACATACATTGAACAGCGTGAGTTGCCTAAATTTCCTACAAGAAGAACATCCTGCACTTCTGGAGAATGTGCCTTTACAACTAAGGAGAAACCTATGATTTCAACACGACCCCACAAGGCGAGAATTGTGCAGCAATATTTAGATAACACTTTCCCAGAAAAATGGATTGGGCTTAATGGACCTACGCAGTGGCCTGGAAAGTCTCCAAATCTAACCTCCCCTCGATTTTTTTTAGGGGGGGTTTAAAAAATAAGATTTATAAAACACCTTCGCGAGATATTAATCACTTAAAAGAAAAAATCACGAACGCTTGTAATGAGTTAAACGGTGAAATGTTAATAAACGCAGCCCACAAAGAAGTCAGGCGAATATGTGTCTTGAAATGAGAGGAGGTCATATAGAGAAAAGATTGTAATATGTATGTAGTTTGAAAGCTTTTGCCTCATTTTTTCAGTTTAGTTATTGTTATCATCACCTTTTGTTTTAACTGTATTAAAGAATTATCGAGTTTAATCCCTTTATTTATTCTTAATGACATTTATGTACTTTAAAGAACGAACATTCAATTGTTTTCCAACAACTACTTGATCCTTCCTCCGCTAATGTGGTATTTCTATTGAGACTCTTTAGGACGATATTGCTTATAACTTTTAAACGGGAAGTAATACAGAAAAATTTCTCTAATAAAAGTTTATTAGAAAAAAGAGAAACAGGAAAATAATTTGGGTATCTTTCTGGAAGAAATATAATTGATAACGTCATTAGTCGTTTCTGTCAAATCCCATAGATAATACTTTCGATCTATCCGTTGCTTTTATTTCTTCATGTTTTTCCATCCAAAAGTAAATAGTGAATTACTATCAATATTGCTCTTTTTCCATTTTATCGAGAAATACGAACCACATGTGATACAACTGGCTGCCAAATAAAAACTTATGAATCAGTCTGACATTTAGTATGGTGTCGTTTGACAGATGACATTTGACATACACGACAGTAATGTCAATTTATCTCAGAAACGCCATGGGTACTTATTGATCGACTCTCGTAAGACATCATTTTCAGAAGATTTTATGCAGATTTAAAAAATTTATATTTAGATTTAAAAAAATATGTTTTAACTGAAAAACTGAAAGTTACAGAAAAATAATGCATACGTCATTGGATTTATGTAAAAAAAATGTAAAAAAAACCTACTTACAAAAATCATGTATTTTCATAACGCTCTCTATATATTAAACAATTCAAGATATCAAGATGTGGTCTTTTTGGTTTTTGTCATCACTTTTTTCAAAAACTGAGACTGTGACGTCTACAGCACTTTTTTGGCTGCACATCTACAACTTCCTTGTATTTTTTTTATTATATGAGTATTTTGAAGAAAAAAATTGAATATTGAGATAGATGAAAAATATACATACCATAAAGCAAATCCAAGACCACAGTATGGATCCAAACATAATGCTATATGTCTACTGGGATATAATTCACATGCTAATTTCATACTTTTGCACAAATTTGTGACCGCAGCATGTGACATCTTAATACCTGCCAACATACCCGTAGTGGATACACTAAAATCAAGGTAAGCCAACATTTCTGCAGTGGGTGCCCTATACACTACTGGTAATTTCTTTTTGGGTATGTCATCGGTGTCTAGTATTATTGGCCAAGATTTTATATCGACCACATTACTAGCTTCTTTGGATCGAAGGAGTTTAATCACAGCTAGAGTTGAAAGCACCAAAACAGACTTTGAAACATCTACGATCATTCTAACTGTAGGTAAAGTTGTTTGTAGATTTTGCGGATGGGGTGGTCTTATTGTAACGGGTACAGCACCAACATACAAACATCCGTAAAAAGCGCAAATTAAATCTAAACCAGGAGGAAAAATCAGAGCTACATGATCGCCAGTATTAATTCTTCCTTTTTCAACTAGAATATTGCCTATTCTTTCTGCTCTCTTATGAAGTTCTGAACATGACAGGACTTTCGCTACGGCACCCTTACTGTTGAGCAGGGTAAATAGTACATGATCGGAAGTCCCTTGTGCTCTCCATCGTAATATTTCAGCAATAAATTGTTGCTATAAAAAGAAACATTTGTTAATAATAAAATTCCAATTACTAATTCATCTTGTCAGTAACTAATTTCTACATCATTTACCTTTTTGGAAGAATCACTTTCTTCGTCAAGAAGTCCTCCAACTTCTCTACCTTGTGCACTAGCAAGTCTATTGCCTTGTACAAGATTTCCAACTATTACAGACGCCGGGCCCACGTCTGAAACACAGTCGGTTGCTGAAACGCAGAGGAACAACATGCTGTAGCATCACTCAAGCAAAAGCTCTTTATGTTAGTATGGTGGTAAGGGGTCACAAAGTACTGCTACTTTGTAAAAGATATGAAAATATAGTATATATTTTAGCTACACAGCTACAATATAAAGCCAGCAAGTTTTAAGGGGGTAATGTACCTACAGTTACTTACTAAATATAGTAGGAATTAAATCTTTCTGTATATACAGTATCTTACATGTTAGTACTCTGGTGTATTTAGTCATAAATGTTTATTTATGTAGTTTATGGTATAAATTATTTCAATATTAAAGAAAAAAGCATAATGATCAAGCCTGGATGTCATCAAAACATATTCTATTATATATCCGGATCATTAAATTATCCTCATACAGGTGGCAGTTAATTTAGGAATTATTTTAAATAGCAAAAGATATGTAACACCCCTTCGTCTCAGAAACCGTAATAGACTAAGAGCCGAATAGGAAAATTTTCCTAATCATTTTAGGCACCGTAAGAGTCTTTGACCCTTAGAGCCCGTGCATTCGTACGGCATAGTAAAATATAACTTTCAAATAAATATCTTTATTTAAAATCAGGCACGCCGTATAGTTTTCTATAATTTTTACATTAGTGAAAATATTTGGAAAATTAAAATGTTTTATTCTTTCCAGGACAGTTATTTTTGTATGGCATAAGGTTTTTATGTCTTATTTTTCTATTATCTATTTTGGGTTGAAATGCCATCAATTTCTATTCAATTAATTTACCCGGTCCAAAATTGGAAAGTTTGATTTTCCGCTGAACCCCTGTGTCATGGAGAATTGACAGCATAAGTAGTGCTCAAATGTTTTCTTTTAGGTTGTAGTATTTAAGTCATACTCTTACGGTGCCTAAAATTCTTAGGAAAATTTTCCTATCCGGCTCTTATAGTCTATAACAGCGGTATTTAAACTGTGTTCCGTGGAACCCTGGGGTTCCCCAAAACCTCTTTGAGGGTTCCGCAATTCACTCAAAATTTCAAAATTTTGAAATTAACAATATCATTATTACAAAATTCAAAAAAATGTATACTTTTACTTAAAACTAGTATTTATAAATATATNGTAGTTTTACGCATAGAATCCGAAACTCGCAAAATGAGTAGGGTACATCTAAAAAAACCACCCGTCACCCCCTAGGGTGGAAGGGGTGACTTGAAATTACGTGCGCTCTTAGTTCTTCCCATCTATAGTACACCCCTAAAATTTCAGATTTTTATATTCATTTTTGTCGGAGATATGCCAGGTACCCAAGAGCTACTACAGTCCAACTCAAGCCTATCACACCACAAGTTTTTTGTTTTAAAATGTAAGGTTATGTTTGAAATTTGGCTTTATTGATGAAATGGCGGGAAAATTGATATATATCAGCTATTAACATATATATAATAGCTGATATGTATCAAAAAGTGATATATATCAATTTGTTATATATTTTCACTCACATCACTATAAATATATTATATAATTAGAAAAATATGTGTTCCAAAATTTTTTTAGGTGTGGGGGTTCCTTAAAAAAATTGAAATGTTGGCCGTGTTCCACTAGTCGTAAAAGCTTGAAGACTGTAACATCAAAGTTTAGTTTCTCTAATTTTTAACTGGTAATTTTCACCAAATATTATTTTATATTATTTGGAAGTCTTTAGCAATTTCACATTTAAAAGACGCAAATACCTTTTTCATTTTCATTTATATGTAAAAAATACACCATTGAATTCTTCTTTTAAAACCACACATACACACAAGTATTAAAAAGTTATGATAGAGTTATACAGATAAATATGTGGCAATATGTATTTACCTTTCTAGTAAGAACAATAGAAATGAAACTAGAAATTGGAAGATGGAATTTTTTTTATAACTAATTTTACAATATTAATGGTAATAAATTTAAGATTTTGATGATGATGATTTATTCTTATTTTCTTTACCAATCTGAACAGAATTACATGGTAATATTATAGCAGTTGACACATTCTTCAATATTAGGATAAATAAAAAAATCTCATGTCTACGTTTCGATTTATTTTAAAATATTTTCCAGGTGAAAGAAGCACAAGTACTATTTTGAAATTTCTGAGAAAATTGTAATGTTACACTAAATTCAATTTTCAATTAAAAAAGACACATTATTTAAGAAAAAAAAAAACAATTTTGTAGTTTGCTCCTTTGTAAAGATTGTGTTTTTCATGTTTAAAATTATATTTGCTGTATACAGGGTGACCACTTTAAATACAGAAACTGCAGGAATATATAAACTTTTTTCCTGGGACATGCTATTCGAGATACAGGGTGTTTAAGTTTCCAAAAAGAATGATATTTTCTGTTATATCTGGGGTATTCCACGCCAAATCGACCACTTTTAACCCTGACCCGATTTGGCTGAAACTTTTTTATTGTTTTCTACCTCATTGAAAACCTCTGACTTTTTTCAAATTTTTTCACCTCAAAAAAATATGAATTTTTGAAAAAAACAGCTTTTCTTTTAATAACCCTCTTTCAAAAATTGAGTTATTGGGACGTTTTTTTTCAACATTTTTGTTTTTATGTGTACTTTTTGAAAAAAAATTGATTAAAATTATCTGGACCTATCTTCATTGTTCTTTTTCAATTTTCGAAAAAAAACGAAAATTTCTCGATTACCATTTTTGAAAAAAAAAATTTTTTTCTTATAAAGAACTGACATTTTTTATAAATCCTCAAATTTTTTCAGTGGTGTTTTTTCGTTTTCTATTTTTTTTATTGATTGAAAATTTTTTTTTTTTCAAATTTAGCGTATTTCACATAACACCATTTTGAAAATTTTTGAAAATGTATATAGATTCCCAAAATTGAAAAAAAATATATGGAAGAAATAATTGAGTGGTAAACATGAAAAAAATTTTGATTTTTTTTTTGAAAAAGTTAAAAAAAAATAGACCGTTTTGAATAATTTTTTTGTATTTTTTTTTCAAAAACTACATCCAAAAACAAAGAAAATGAAAAAAAAATTTTGTTAGTTGGTCCATTTTTGGACGAACAGTGGGCTTTAAAAAAAGACAAGCAACACTATTATTGAACTCAAATAAATCATTTTGAAACCATCCTCTTTTGGCTTTTTGAAACTGTCATCAATCGCTGCATAGAATATATACGCTGTAGTAAATTTCATTCAATTCCGTCATCGCATTATAAAGATATGGCAGAAAAAAATCCATATATATATTATATATATTTTTGTAAACTTTAACACCCTGTATCTCGAATACCGAGTCCCGCAGGAAAAAGATGTATAGAGTAAACTCTACTTATTTTTTGGTAATGAATCTAGTCCTGCTGTTTCTGTATTTAAGGTGAAATCACCCCTGTACAAACAAACAATAATACTGTCGTTTGTTTATTTTTTGTAAATGTTTTCATGTTTTTTTAATTTAAAAATGTATTTTGACTTACAGTGAAATATTTGAATTTTTATGGTAATCTGTTCACTTAATTATATAACTGAAAAATTTTGCCATACATATTGATTTTGCCTCATAGGAATATAACAATGTTTATATCATTTATAATTATCATTTACACAAGCGTAATTCTCTACCTAGTTTTATAAGATTTTGTTAGCACAGATATGGACAATGTAACCATACAATTGTTTTTAACCGTCATGATGATCTCAATTAAAGGTAAAAGTTATATAGTTTTACGTATATCTTACAATGTTAGTTGAAAACCAAAACCAAAAGGGATTAGAAAAGTAGAGTAGACAAGTAACTAAAATGTGTTGTGATTCTTTTATCCCCAGAAATATATTTTTCTCAAAATATGTGACTATGTTCTTTTAAGGTGGTATTATTATATAGGTACTATTGTTGGCAGTAACTTATCAAAAATGACCATCAAAAATTCAGTTTGAATAATTTTGTTAAAATTTACGTTTATTTAATTTTTATTCTCAAAAAGTCAATAAAAGTAAAAAAACTGTTCAAAAATTAAAAAAACATTCAAATTAAGAAATAAACAATATTTTTCTTTGACATTTTTCAACTTTTTAAGCCAAATATCTTTTTTAGAATTCAAGAAATAGGAGTTATGACATCGACATGAACCCATGTTATCCCATGAACATACCAAAATCTTTTTTATAGTGAAATAATGTGGGTATGTTTGTGAGAAAATAATTGTTGATGATGTAAATTTCAGAAAGAATATTTTTGGTATGAAATAAATCCTCTCTAGTTCCATTTGAGACTATACACCAATTTTTTATTTTCGTTTTTTGTTTCCCCATAACAAAGCAGAAACATCAAGTTTGAAATAACCTGTATATTGTAATTGCTGTAGTCAGAGATTTTGAATATACTAAATACCAAGATATTAATTTTAACGGTTAACAACATATTTATTTCTCTATTCTTTTATTCAGAACAGTTGAGTGTCCTCAAATTAAGTTAGTAAGAGCATTTTCTATCAGTGCCAGCTTTAAAAATATCTGCCCCTTTTTTCATTACCTGGACATAAAGTGTATTAAAATAAGTGTGATTCTAAAATAATTAGAAAACATTTTAATACATTCACTGAATTTACAATAAATTACACTATCAGAGCAGTTAAAGTAAGGTTGCGGAATGTCCACAAATTTTGACATTAAATTCTAGGGAGCCAAGACTCTCAGATCTTACAAATTGGCATTTATCATTATTATTTATTACTTATCATCTTTATTACCCTATAGTATAACAGACTAACAAATTATTTCTTTTTGTGATAAATGATTTTAGATCTGAAAGCATTGACTGCGCTGCCCCCTAGTTGCAGACAACTTATATGCTCCCATAAAACTGTAAGCATTTTGTCTGGTATATTTAATGATACACTCCTTAGATATAAAAGATTTGAGGGTTCGTCTAATTGTTGACAATTACCACAGTTTTAGGGAGGCAGCACGATCAACACCTTAAGATTTAAGAAAAGGTGCATCAAAAAGAGGTGATTTGTTGCTTAAACTGTTATAATAGGATAATAAAAGTAATAAATGTAATAAATAATAATGATAATGTATAATTAGTCAGATCTGAGGTCGTAAATCGCAGTGTTACCTAGATTCTGAAAGAATACAAACATCAAAATTTCAAGCTAAACATTAGCCGTTACTTGGACTTATCTGATAATATAGCTTATAAACTCAATGATACAAATATAACCAATGTTGCCAATCATAAATTGAAATCTGTTGCTAAGGAACTATAAATATTTTACTACACACCTGCTTTTAAGAACTTCATACGCAATAAAAATAAAATAAGTTTCGGAACAAATCACTTAAATTAGATAAACTTTAATCAGGTTTAACAAACTTTGGTTTTTGATTTCTGTATGAAAAAATAAAATAAAAATAAGAAACAAAATTTTATTTTGCTAACTAATAAAGATTTGTTATTTTATATAGTTTACTTGTATTTGGTTAAAAATTTCTAATTTTAAAAAAAAATACAAGCATTACTGCATATTTATATAACCTATTTTTAAATTTTTTAGAATTTATTAAAAATTGTGGTTTATAAAGCGAAAAACTAAAATTTTCCACAGGTGCAGCCAGCTAGGGAGGGGAATAGTCGAGTTGTAATTAGTTTTTTAAAATGTGCTTTAATTCTTGTATACACCGTCACTGTAATACCAGGTGTATAAGTATGAAATGCTGATTTCAGACAACAGATGGCACACCAATCCAGTTTGTGTTATAAAGATTTGACACTGCGTCATTTTGTTGTGTTATCAACAAGTGCCAGATGCGCACGAGTGATAAACTGGAAAAATGTGTGCATAGTGTTGTGTTCAATATGTCGAAATTTATACTGAACAGAGAGCATTCGTGGACAGCACCAATTTTTTGTTTACATTTGAAGAAAACTGCTGCTGAATCATATCGATTACTTCGAAAAGCTTATGGTGAACACGCTGCATCTTAAGATAGGTGTGAACGATGGTTTCGGTGTTTCAAAAGTGGTGACAACTTCGATGTTGCAGACAAGGAACATGGATAACTGCCAAAAAAATACGAAGATGTGGAATTGCAAGCATTGTTGGAAGAAGATAATTCGCAAAGACAAAAACAACTCGCCGAGCAATTGAGTGTTAGTGAACAAGCTGTTTCGGTTACGAGAGATGGAAAAGATTCAGAAGACCAGTAGATGGGTACCACAAGGCCAGAATACCGAAAGAGGCAACACAAAGTCATTTTTCTTCATGACAATGCTCCATCACATACGGCAAAACCGATTTGCGACATGTTGGAAGCACTCAGCTGGAAAGTTTTACCCCATACGGCTTACTCACCAGATTACTGTCTTACTCCTTTCCGATTACCACTTGTTTGTATCGATGGGTCATGCACTTGCTGAGCAGTGCTTTCGATGAATGGTTTGCAGTAAAAGGGGAAGATTTTTACTGGCGTTGTATTCACATATTGTCCGAAAGATGGGATAAATGTAGAACAAGCGATGGAGTATATTTTGAATAAAGTACTTTTTATCATTCTTCCGAATTTAACACGTTTTTTTTTAGACAAAAATCCGCATTTCATACTTGTACACCTGGTATTCATGCATTTGTAACAAGATTGTTGGCAACCTACACTACATGCGGAGGGAGATGTGCGGATCAACAGTGACTAACGAAGAGGGCAGTTGCTGCTCTGCATTTAGAGACAGTACATCTAACTGTGAATTTGAATGTTTTTCATCATTATTAAATTCCAAATAACAAACTCCGTATCCTGAAGTCCACATAGTTCAAAGTGGCGGGATACACATTTAAGAGATTATGCGAGATTTGAACGGCAATACCATATATTTTTGTGTATTTCATTTGGAAAGAAGAGAGTAAGAACAAATAAGTCTGATCTTTTCTTAGAGTACTCATTATATTATATTTTGGTATCTAGCAATACAAAATGTTTGGTTGTAGATGTTGGTATCACTGAAATTAAGAGAGTTTTCGATGATTCAAAGTAGATATTCGTGTGCTGAGTTCCCCCATCATTTACTGAAAATAACGCAGATAAAACGTAACTTTATCTTGTTCGATTTAATATTGTTTTTTTGATTCGTTCAATTTATTGGTGGTTTTTATTTATTCGTCTATTTTGCATATCACTCAAGGGTTCGTTTACATTTTATTTGCTACCTTGAAGTTCCGCCAGAGGGCAGGGCACTTGGCTTGAATTGGGAATTGACAGACCATCCTCACTTTCTATGTCTACTTATATTAATAATAGGTAAATATTTCATCTAATTTTTTTCAAAGAAAGAAAAGTTTGTCATTGTAATATTCTATAAAAAAAAATCGAAGTAACTTAAAACATTCATATTTTGAACACAATAACAAAATATCCAAAAACATTTTTATAACGAGATGGTAGCTGGTAACAAGAAAAATAAATACATTAGATGTAATAAATTTTTTTTTTCAGCATCTAATAAAAATTTATTTCCTGAGATAAAAGAATCAGCTTGCAATTAAAGACAACAAAGAACCCATGTGCTAAAATATTGTTATATTTTACTAGAAAAATGTAAGTGTACACTTATAAACTTGTGGTATAATTAAATACATAAGTGAAACCCCATGCTATACTGGAAGTACGTTTGAAAAAAAAATTACCTGAATGCACTTCTCTTGGTTTTGGTAAATTTGTGACACAAGTATGTGGGCACATTAGCACATTAGCTGGATGTAGTGTGCCTTCCATAAATCTTCTTTTAGTCTCTGAAAGATGAATCCCTCCGAGGGGTGTCTTAGGAAGGTAATTTGGTGGTACCAATGCTAGACAATAAAGACCGACTTGATGAATGGAATCAACAGCTTGTAATACCCGAGACATCCATTGGAATGACTAAAAATGTATTAGTTTAAAATTTAAAAAATGTACAAAACATTAAATTTACCTCCTCTTCACTACAGTCTGGCCTTTGTTCAGCAATAACACAAATTCTTTCATCCCTCAAAACTCTTATACTAAATACCGCAATTCGGCCACGATAAATAAATTTCATTGGCTCAACAGCAAGTACTGTCGCGATAATGTCATCAGCATTATGCTTTCTTCCAGTGACCGTCATTAGTCCATCACGGGAGCCGCATACAAAAACTAATCCGCCTGGTCCTAGGAACCCTAATAGTCCGGATCTTGTATATTCCGCATCAGAAATCGGCTTTCCGTCAGTTCCTAAAGGTTGTACTTTGAAGGTGTTGTTGCTCAGGCCTTGTAAACCCCAATACTGAGTGCCAGTAGCGCCGGAATTAACGCAAATTTCTCCTACTTCATCGGTTTTACATAAATAAGTGGGACCCTCCATTTTTACAACCACTATTACGCAACCTGGCATTACTTGTCCACAGTCTTGTAAGGTGAGCGACGTTAGACTATTTTCTTGGTCTACTCGAACTACACCATAACCCAATCCTTGCATCGAAAGAACTCCACGACCTGTGGCGTTAACTCCACCTCTCCCAGGTCTTCTAACGGACACTGTTAGCACCTCGCTTGAACTCGCGCAAGGACAGATGGCGTCGGCACGCAGCCCTTTAGATTGGAATACTGATAAGAATTGATCGCACGAGCTTAAAGACCAAGGATTAGCTCCGTCTGCCACTAGTAACATACGGAGTGAACCTAAATTAATGTCTTTGTGGTCCTTGGTGGCCAGCAAACCCCAGTGAAGATCTCTCGACTTTACGACAGCCACACAAGCCCGATGCTTTGTAATCATTTGCATCCAACTAGCTGGATTTACCTTCATCAAGGCATAAGGAATGTAAATTACGTGCATGCCATTTAGGACACTTGTTAATACTGAATGCCACAACCCAACTTCCCTTTTAAAATCGAGGACACACACCATGTTTTCTCCTTCGGTATAATTACATGACATGGTTAGCATCCTGCAGTGTTGGACCATAGCAGCTCTCGTTATAGTGACTCCCATCACCGAACCGTCTCTATCTGTGCTGTATTCAATGTACGCCGGTGTCTCGTCGGTTAACCTGGGCGTCGGAGTCCAGTCTTTTGGAGTTTTAGTTAGATGCTCAGTGACGAACCACGTTAGCTTCGGCCAACCTTTGAACTGGATTACTTCTCCTGAAGTTGTTTTAGGTAATCCTTTTAAGCAGGCCTCTGACGTAAGTGCTACTTGTACTGCACAACTGCCCAGAAGAAATCCAATCTGCAAGGATCCAGCATCACGTCTTGTAATTGGTACCTCAATTGGCACTGGAATTATTCCAGCCTGTAAACATCCATAAAACGCACATAAAAAGTTGATGGGATCATTGTTGGGATAGACGAGTGCGACTCGATCGCCAGATTTTAGACTAGTGTCTCCATTTTTACTGAACGATTTCGTCAAAAGAGCATATGCAATTTTGTGTGATCGACTCAATAATTTCCCTGGAATAAAATCGTATTTAATAACTGGAATACACTTATCACTATTTGGTAATTACCGTATGTAAGTGTGGTCGATAATTTCCCATTTGGATCTAATACTGTTGCAACAGGTGCTTTGAAAGTCGCATTGCCATATCTCAATATAGCCGCTTCTAAATTTCTTGGTAATCCAGATGGTATGACTAATTGTTCTCCAACAGCAGGACTCATGTAGCCACCTAGATTGAAATAATGAAGTAAGTGCAAGTTTAATTCATAATACAAGAATGCAATAATTTGATAACGATGAGAGGTAGATTCGTAGATATACCTTCTGGTTTCGGAGCATTCGGATCTTTTGGATTTGCTGCAATTTCTAATTCTATATCATCGTCTTCATAGAACTCTGGTAGAGGACGTCTCTTAGGCCTTTTTAATGTGTTGAGCAGTTGTTGGATTTTCGCTGAAACTTTCCAGCGCCCTGTCCCAGTACCTATGGTATCGTCAGATGTAGAAGAACCATATCTATTGACTCGGTCGGCTGCTGTCCTTCGTCCACCTTGAGCTGTGTTGTGAGTAACGTCAGGAGGTTGAGAGTCTATAAAAAACATATTTTTAGGAAAATGAAACCTAACGACTTAAAAAAAAACTCTTAAATTAAAAACGCAGCAGCAAAATTAGAAAAAAAGATTATCTGTAATAATCTTATTTTTTAAAAATATACCCTACCTATCCGTTTCCTGCATCAATGTCTTTAATTTTTCTGAGCAGACAATTTAGATTTATTTGAAAAGCAATATATTACTTACAGGGTCTAAAATTCTGCATAACATCACTGATGTCCGTTATCTCTTGTCTACTTCTCTGGTCCCAGTTATTTGGCTGTGGTAATCGAGGTCTGTGATGTAAGGGTGGTGGTGAACCAGTACTACTAGTATCAGATAGTGGAGGTGGGGGAAATATTTGTGGTGTACCCCTATCTCTTAGTTTTTCTCTCTCTGGTGTACTTTCCACTGTTTCTTCATTAACAATACTGTCTTCGTCAGAAGATGATTCTGAAATTAACGATTAAAAAATGTTAATTTTAAGACATTTTAAAAATGACCCAAGGTTTTTTTATTTGATGACTCACAGAAGTAGTAAACTATTTACTGCATATTTAATTGTGGACAAATATTTGAAGAATATCTATTGTAGAATTAATTTGTTTTATTACAGTATATCTTTTTAGAGTTGATCTTTTATGTAACTTTTTTGAGTTTGCACTTTTTTAGATGTAGACAGCTGGAACTACGACTGTTTTAATTATAAGTAAGTTTTATTATATTGGTATTGCAATAACAAAAGATGATAACAGTGGAAGTAAACAAACGTACAGTTAATTGAATGAAAATTTTCTTTTATTTTAAAAAAGGTGTGGTTTCAGCTTTTAAGGGAATTTTTGTTCAGTGTAAGCAAAGCTTCATTAATTTCAGTCTAAAATATTGACATGTGGAAAATAGAAAAGTTTTTGTCATATTTAGTCTACCAAAGATGTACCTAGCGTTTTCTACTAATGAGCAAGTACAAAATATATACTATTTGTGGGTTGAAACAGAGTAAGATGTGTTGAAGGCATATTTTTTAGTTCTATCCCAGTATTAACGACATTCTGTATAAAAATAATTAATATCGAGTATAACTTGTATTAAGCAAGAATGTAGATTATCTCTATTAAAATAGTACTTATAATTTAAATTACTTACAGCTTTACTTCAACGAAATTACTATATACTTACCAGAATCGTGTCTGTCCCTGTCTGGGCTCCTAGCCATAACAGAGGTTCTTTTAGAGGGCATAGGCATTGATGGTTTGTGCCTGTTTTGCATAGCTTGTGCGAGAGCTTGTTGAACAGCCTCTTGCCGTACTTCTAAAATATTAAATCTACCTTGTAAAAGTTTGTATTTTTTTTTTTAAATTAAATTTTCAGTTTAGCAAGACAATTTATAAAAAGATTAAAATAAGCAATAACTATACTATACATTAATGTGTGTGCACATTACTTGCTTAATATAGTGACATGCATTTTTTATAGATTACCAAATAAATCAGACACAGGACACAGGTAACTAACGTCAGTCACTTTGGATACGTTATATACAAATAGTGAAAACATGGAAACTTTCATCTTTTTATCATTCACTTATTCATAAAGAATATTAATTTAAAACCATGGTGAAAATATTAATATTCAAAATTTTGCACAATTTATGTTCTTTTTCATAATTTCGGCATCAGAAAGGTATATAAATATGGTATATAAAAAAATATATGAACAGTAAGTCTAATACCTCTGCCTATGTGTTGAGATAAAAATATATCACCATTCTTCTCAACTTTCCAATGGAAAATTGAAACATGACGAATTTTTGCTAAGTTAAATTTTTTCCGTTTTTCTAATAAATAAGAGACAATAACCATAATTCTTACCATTTGAACATATCTTTTTTTATAGACAATTTATGCATGGCTTTAATTTTCTATGGTGCAAAGTACCCAAGGTGAACAGATTTTCAAAAATGTCGAGGGGGACATAGCATAACAGCAGACTGCTTCAACGTGAATAGTTCCAATTTAATTTTATTAAAAATAAATAAGTAAATCCATAACATATTATATACAGAATGTCAGGAAGGTTCATATTGGATGTCTCAAATTTTTTTGAAAATTAACATATTGTTCTCACTACAATAAAATTTATGTCGTATTGGAAAAATTTATATATTTGTGCAACAATTTCTGTAATTTTATTTTATTATATTATTATAAGTTACACTCTTGTGAAAAGTTTGTTATTTGTGCAATTTTTTTTATTCTTGAAAGTTTCTTAATATGAAATTGTAAAATCCTGCATCTAAAAATAAGTACCTACAATCAAAATTTTAAATGGTGTCAATTTTTTTTCTTGGAAAAGAAGAAATAAAATTTTAATGAAGCTGGAACAAAATTTCTAAAAATTGTAGCAAAAATATCCGATTAATGACAGCTAGTAGCTAATGTATTATCATTATAATATAATATATTGTACAAACAGAAAAAGAGCTGCAAAACTTCCAAAAATAATTATAATTTCCTGGGAGGAGGTCACAGAAGTCAAATTGTTCAAATCAAAAGTCAGATGTTAGCTCAAAGGACAAACCTCATGAAAGGACGATTATCCTCTCCAGGATGTTTGGTCACCTTAAGGTACAATTTAATAAGAACATATAACATTGGGATGTGGATGCATTAAAAAACCACAAACTTTAGGAAAAAGTAAACTGTTCTGTTCTATTTAAAATAAGTATTCTGTCGAGAAACTACATATTATAACCTTTACTTTTTAAATATTAGTTCTGAGAATAATGGTTGATCTGTAACGATGATGATATGTGCTGTCTTTAAAATTGGTAATGATGTTTATAGGCGATGCTTACTAAATGTAAATATTAATCAAGTTTTAGAAATGAACTCAATAATTACATTTTCATTAAGCTCTGGATAATTCAAACAGAAGTAAGCAAAAGTAATCTGTGAAAAAAGAATTTATAAACTTTATCTTCGCCACTAGTTTTGAAGTTTATATACACAGATATATAATTTATTGTCGCCTTTATTTTTTTTGTGTTTAGAAAAAGAGCTAAATTTAAAAATTGTGAATAACTAGAAGTTTTTTTATAGTGATATTACCAACATTATACAAATTATCTTTATATTCTATGTTTATACATGTGTACTTATAGGTGTACAGGGTGGTCTGTTAGTGGACTGACCTTTACTGGCAATTAATATAAGTAAAAAATAAATAATTGAAAATATTTTTAATTGGACAATAAAGAACGCGCGTATATGGAAACTATAACTTCCATAAAATTGCATATGCTAAATTTGCCACAATTTTATTTAATTAATTAAGTTTTTTAATCTGAAATCTAATATATAAATAATATAAGAAAACATACAATTTCTAGGTCAATGATTTTTCCAGACTGTTTATAATTACATTGTATTTAAAATAATATTAGGAAAAACTTAAAATATCCAGTGGCGTCGAATTTCAAAGGTTTAGTGATAATATCTCTGCGAAGCCTTTCTGAATATTTCTTCAAAATACTTCTATTTCTCATTTTGACCATACAAATTTAAACTATACGATTTGCCAATTACTCCTGAAACAACCCGTACAAATAAGAAGCAAAACAGGATGTGGGGGTGAGATATAAGCTACAAAGTGTGGTAAATAAACCTTTATTGCACTTCTACTTAGTGCCTGTTGGTGCAAAGCATTGCTTTGTATCTCCTGGTGAAGAGCGAACTACCACCGTAGGTATTATGAAAGCGAGACTAGTGTTGTGGCACAGGCGAAATAAAAAAGATTTTTAACTATTCATACTGTGGGAAACAACTACTCTACAGATTAAAGCCCCGTCCAGCATTAAGATCTTCTATAGCGCAGTTGTTTCTCACAATATCGTTAGTTAAATCAAGTTTGTATTCAAAAGATCCTACATTTTTTTATCATTATACAAAAAACTTCCAGTTCACAAATATCTACAATTTTTGCATATAGCATTTTTTTAAACACAAAAATATGAATGCTAAGGAGGGTGATAATCGGTAAGCGGCTGCTATCATATTATTTGATCGTTTGTTAGTAACTGGTAAGTGGTTAGTTAATGAACATGATCAATGTAAACAGTGGATGGTAGTATTAATCAGTATAACATGATAAATAATATACAAGTTGTTTTTTTTAATGCACAATGTATGTAACTTTTGTACAGATTATTCAAGTGATTTTTTTTTGGCATCGGTTCTGGTTGACATGTTTATGTTGACAACCAATCAAATGAGAACAATTATATCATTAGATATAAAAGAACAGAAAGTCAATGATTTATATCGTAACTAGAATATAACACAGACTTTGGTAAATGGTAAGCTTTGGCATTTGAAATCAGTAACTGCTCAAGTTTAGTGCAAGTAAGTGATAAACGTTAAAAACACTTAAAAAAATCAAGTAATAACGTTCCGCAAGTTTCTCATTATACCAGACAAACCTAAACTGGTGACAAACCTAAACCGTTCCTAATTAAACTGATAAATTTGTTGGTGAGGCATCACTCCAATATTTCATTTTGGTTTTTCTGATGAACTAACGGAAAGGGAATCAGCTGTTGTCTAGAATGATACTGCCATTATGACATTTTATTTATCAGTTACGCAATTAGTATTAGTTCTTTTTAAGACTGTTTTAAATCATTTTGCTATCATTTGAAGTAAAAAATGTGATGACTACTGTAAAGTAATTTACAATAATTTTATAGTATAAGATGAAATACGAATATTCTAAAATGCTGATATTAAATATAAAATATTAGTAAATTAGTTTTTAGTAACACTGCTCTTTATTTACAGTTGCCCAGTGACATGTGATTGTGATAGCATTAAATATACAGGACTGGCTTATTTAATCAATGGCGATAGTCAACAGTCTACTGTTTTCTCTGTTCCTGTTTCCTATTCCATCAAATTTTGATACAACAGTAAAAATCTGCTCTGACGTCATATATCCATCTGGGTGCAGTAAGAAACTCTCGAGTTATGTCGGTTGCTACTGTTGCCATCGTCTGCAAATGACTTCTCCGGTCTTATTTAAACAACTAGATGATTGGCTTTAATCATATCATTTGGTTTTAAATTTGTGATGTCATTATTACGACGGGTAATAAAAAAGTTATATTTTTCAATACAAGCTTCTATAACTTCAAATAATTCACCCTACCTGCCCGACAATGTTTATTTCATCTGAAATAAAACATGTTTCCTGTCCTGGCCTTCAAAATTGGCATCACTATCCTCTTTTCATTAGTTATCATCTACAAAATGAGGTTTTCCAAATAAAACGAAGTCAAATGGAGCCAAATTCGGACTACATGGCGGGTGAACTAGCATCTGTCTGAACAGAGCCTTTAGACTACTGCAGATTTCTAGAACTAAATATTGATATTTTTACTTTATTTCAAATGAATATTTATGGAATATTGCTGTCACAAATATTTGTAGTCAATCTTTCAAATAAATATCATTTTCTTGCACCAAACAAAAACAGATATTTTAATTTTAGCTGTTGCAAGCTCAGTAAAAATTAATAAAACCCTATTTTTCTTTAAAAATGTACCTACAATAATCCAAGTAGGAAGCACTGTTTCTCACTTGCAACACATATATATTTTAATTTTTCAAATTTAATGATGTCCACGTTAAACAAATCATGATCTAATATGGTAGAGTAATTATTAAAGACTGACGTTAGAATATTTTTTGCAGAAAAATGAATTATGTGGAAAATTGCCATCATCCATAAAAACTGCCCTAAGTCACACATTTACAGTACCCAGGTGACTGTCACTATCTTAGAGAAAAAGTCAGAGCCTGCATCCAAAAATTTCAAATAATTTTCAGAAAGTTGCTGTTTTTGTTTATGTCAACAGTTTTGGAACTTTTCTAAGTCATAATAGGATAACAGCATCACGTCACTGTAGGAGACTCCATAGTTGGAAATAAAAACCGATTCGATAACTTCACTATGGCCCCTACAGCATATGCAACCATGGATTCGAAAGAGATATTGACCAGATCATCAGGACTATAATGAGAATTTCTATTTGAGCGAGCATAGTTTCAGAATAGAAGAGTTTTCCCTGAAATTTTTCACGGAAACGAGAGCTGGCGAGACCAGGATTGTGGAGAAATATTTAGTTCTGTTTGGGTAAGCGTAAACTTTTATAACAGAAGATAATTTTTCTCATTTTTAAAGCCGGAATACTTATTCTGTAATAGGTAATAACCGTTATGTCTTCGACGTCCAAAACAAATGTGTTGTTAAAA